TACGCGAAAAACGTGGCTGGCATCGCCATCTAAAGCTAATTTTCGTTTTTGTGGCTTGTTTACGAAGCATACCACGGGAAATAATGGCTTGCTAACTCGGGTATTTAGCCTATGACCTCCATGTTCAAGCTGCGCGTGCCCCGGGCCCGGAAGGTACGTGACACCTCTCTCGCCTGCGCACAACCGCACGGCAGGTTCTCGTTGCCGATTATGCTGACAAGAAATTTCTCGGGGCATAGCGGAAAAGCCGATACTTTACAAGGGAGACAAAGGCTGGTCGACGCCTAAAGGCAACAGTTCTGCATGGGGCCAGAAACGTAAGCTGGATAATCCAATTGTCTGTGTGAATATTGACGGTGATGTAGGAAACGCGATGGCCAGTGGTGGCGATTTCCTCGTCCAGCTGAAGAAAAGCCATGCTGCTTTTCAGCAGAATGTGGGAAGGGAGTGAACGATAAGAGGACTTACGGTGGGACGGAGTTTGTTTTGCGGATTTGATTTCATTGAGTTGGACTGTACTTAGCGCATACTTTCTACGACAATGATGCACATGGCGGACATGGAGTTCGGTGGGGAAATTGTTTCATTACCAGTGAGGGTTTACCCGGTTTGTTTGGTAATTTGCGGCTCACTTTCGGCCTTCTGGAAGCTGCGCACCATCTCACCACATATTTACCGGGACTTTCATGTTGTGCATCTAGTACTTACTCCGGCTTGCGCCGACCCCGCCGGTAGAATTGAAACGCTCGGAATAATTGCTGCCGTATTCTACACACCCCGCTCCCGCAGTGGTCCAAGTGCTTACGGTGAGACACACACAGCCGTTGAATATACCTCATAACCCGGCGCAGCCTGATTATGTCTCGTAAGTACTTGCCTACATGTACGTACCTAGGAAGTATGTATGTACGTTGCAGGGAGCATGTATTGTAGAATAGATGCCTTCTTACAGTATCTGACGTGACGGGTTACCGTTAGCGCCAAGACGTGGCCGCGGGAGATCGACAGCAGGGGAGGGAGGAGGGGGGCACGTGTTGATCCGTCAACATTTTGTGGGGTTGTTCATAATACGACTGCGGTTTTGGCGATGGGAGGGTGGGGCGGGCAAAAACAAACGGGCAGGATCTGCTGGACAAACGACAGTTCCTGTTCCTTCATAGCAAGGCTGGAGCCTGACTATATACCTTGGGCTGTGGCTACCGATGAGATAACGGCGGAACCGGGGGGCGGGCCAATCAAGCAAGAAACACCTCGGTACTTGTTTCCAGAATTCGGGTCCCGTTTGCGTTTGTTTGCACATAGAAGTGAGATCGAGATCGAGATGCTGCTGCTGCTGCTGCTGCTGCTGCTGTACGGGTGAAGTCGGAAGGTGCTGCGGATCGAGATTGTCGAGACGTTGACGCATCCCCCCCCGATCTGGTGCACGTGGGTGGGTGGGGTGGTGGTCGGTTCATTTATGAAATGATGGCTGCGCATGAGTGAGTGATCCTGTGTGATATGGGGGTCGGTGAGGGTCGTGTGAGCCGGCTGTGGCCCCCACATGCGTGCATAGTCTGCGCCACCTGTAAACGGTTTGCTGTGTATTGGCCAGCTACCTGCTTGCTGGTGTGGCGAAAGAGCTTTTGGCTCACTCAGCTACATGGCCTTTTCACTCGACAAAAATATTGAAAAAAACCATCCTTATGGGGACACTACAGATCGCAAAGCAACTGCCATCTAGAGTTGATATCCCGTGCGATCGAGAGGCGATCTGAATCGGCCGCCACCATCCACAGCACTGACAATCACTCATAGCGAGACAAGTCTAAAACTCCTCGTCGCCCTGCGGTCGTGCCTTATATCTGCAACTCTCAGCGCACATAAACGCGGGGATCTGAGTGGCAAAACAATTCCCTTCAAAATACTTGTATTGTGCTACTTGCCCTGTTGTGCTACTTGTTTTTGTTTTGTTTTAAATCATACAGCGTACGCGAGGACAAGAGCCCAGGCGCCCCCTATCTCGCGAGTCGGGGTGAGGTCGGAGACCTATGACGGACATAAGGAACCGGGTATCCTGTCCCCACGGCTTAATCCGTCTGTTGGGGCTCCCCGTTACAAAGGAAAACCAGGAAAGTCAAATAAAGGGAAAGACAAAGGAAAAGAAAAAGGAAAGGGAAAGACACAAATTCTCAAACAATTTCCCGGCTTCAACCTCCTAAGAGGCTTGGCCCGTTCTCCTTCCAATTTCAGTACTATCAAGGAATCTCAGCACAATCGCCGTCATCCTGTCATCGCCGAAAATATCTTTTAACCTCTTCCGCCTTCTTCTCCCCCATACTCTCTCTACTTCTTTGAAGAACGCTTTGCGTTCTTCTTTCCACCTCTTGCAGTGCAGTAGAAGGTGGCTTCTCGTTTGTGGCGTGTCGTTGTGGCACCAATCGCAGTGGTTGGACTCGCGCCGTTTTCGCTTAAACAGATAGTCGTTTGTGACCGCGTGGCCGCTCATCAGCTGGTAATATACCTGCGCTTTCTTTTTGGGGATTTTTGCAGTGTCCTTGCGGATCTTCCACAATATTCTACCCTTGACGATTCTTGGCTTGTATCGAGTGTCGTCCTTGAGCTTGTTTGAGATCCATTTTTGTTGGACCTCTGTTTCGGCATCCGTGGCCAGTCGGTTGACATGAGCCAGCGACATCCATTCTGTTGGCGAGTCCCGTCCTTTTGTGAGCCGGTCTGCGATTTCGCCGCCTTCTGCACCCTTCTTGGCCAACCGATCGGCGGCCTCGTTTCCGTTAATCCCGACGTGTGCTGGCGTCCATCTGTATTCCAGTTGGACGTTCCGTCTTGCCAAGGTTGCTTCCCATCGATATAGCCACCGTGTGGCCATCTGTCCGGGGCCCTCTCTGTCGTCTTGGATCCGTGTCAGAGTCGCCTGCGAGTCTGTGAAGACGGTGACTTTGTCGTTGGTGATTGTCTCCATGCTGCTCGCCCGCTTGACAGCTTCAATCACCGCAAACAGCTCTGCGTCGAATACTTCTTTGCTAACACCTAAGTGATAGCTTTTTCCGACGTACTCTTCCCCTTCCTTCCATGCTACTCCAGTTGTGCTACTTGTCTGCCCAGCCCCCCCCCCCCCCCGATTGGGAATAGAGTGAGAATCTATGATGCGTCTGTTCCGTGTTCAGCTGAGCTTTTTCAGTTATGTAGGAGGTGCGGGCGGCCCGGCCCAATTACGTAGCCAGTTGTTACAGTGGTTGGCAAGTACTATACTGGTACCATTCTCTGATAGGTCAAACGTCGACTGAAACTCAACCAGCCAGAGCTGGGTCAGAGCTATGTGTTTATATATCTATATCTGTATCCCCATTACCGAGCGCGCAAGTGGCGGCGGGAAAAGACAGACAGCTTGCAAACCCGTACACAGTATATACCGGCATAATAACACCAATTGCAAGACAACCAACAACATGTCTATCAAACAGGAAGCCTTTTCCATGGCATGTTTCAGCTGGCTGCTGGCTTATTGGTGGGTGGATGGGGTGGATGGGGTGGGGTTGATCTCCCGCATTCCTCACACGACCGTCCGGACGGACTTGTTACTGCGTAAGGCATGTATGTATGTCTGAATCGGAATCAATTCCCTTTTTTTTTTTTTAAAAAAAAAAAAAAAAAAACAATTGTTATCACAGCTTGTGACCTTGCAGCAGCTTGCTTTGCGGCCAACGCCTTCCCTTCCCGCATGGCGGGGACGCTGATCCTTGGGTTTCGGTTTCTGTAATTGCTACTGATGGATGCTACTGCTGCAACGGGACTCCGACTACCACCAACCTGCCAGTCGCCAAACTTCTCTAGAAGTAGAAATCCCCCCCCCCCCCCCCTTTTTATTTTTGCCAGAGGGTGAGGGGGGGGGGGGGCTTCTCAAAACCGCAACTGTGACTCGAATCGTTCACGGGTAACAACTCGGTATGTGATCCATAGCAGGGTGGGTGGGTCAGACAGCTTATCTTGTGCTTTTCCACCCACGGCTGTCAACGCTCTTGCCTAGATTCCACTGCCTTGCAACGTACGGGAAGACGCAAGCCGCTGGACAGGAAACTCGATTTGTTTGTTTTGATCATATTGTATTCGGCCGCTTGCGGCGTCTCTGAAGGAAAGAAGACATAAGGAAAAGCGTATCTGACATAGGACGGAAAATAAATCAAAAAATCAAGACTGATCGTCACTACACTCTCGGATTCTCAGGCCAGCCCCCCCCCCCTAATCTTTGTGTTTGCTAGGGGATCCAGCATAGCCTTGGTACATCTTTCGTCTGCTAACAGGACGACCTTGATGGGGGGTGGGGACCTTCCTCCTCCCACTCCCTATCTTTCCCTCGTGCATTGTGGCTTCGCCAACCGCCTTCCACAGCACATCTTGTCCCCCCTTCGCCACCTGGCGCAGGACTTGAAAGAAAAAAAAGGTGCTCCCTGGTCTGCTGCGGTGCCTTCTTGCGGAACCAGCACTTGTCGTTTGCCCGCCTGTTCGTGCACGCCAAATAGGCGGGGCCGTTGGCGCTTTTCTCAGCTTAAGCTGGTAGATAGGAAACTCGTGAGCTGTTGGAGAAGCCCACTCAAGTCCTTTTTTTTTTTTTTTTCAGCTCCGTCGGGCTGGCGGGCCGCTCAAGTGTCGCCAATCACAGCTGCAACTCCCACCCCTCAGCCCGCAAGGGCAAGGCTGCAAAAGCTGGTGTTTCATTCCACCCAGCAGCCCGACTCGAGCCCGAATTTTTCGGCTACTGAAAGTCCAAAGCCCACACAAAAAAAAAACCCCAAACCACGCCAGTCAAAAACCAGATCGAAGGATGGGGAAAAAAAAAAAAAAAAAAAAAAAAAAAAAAAAACTCTGCATTCACGCCCAGGGGTTCGGGCCCGGTTTGAGTTCCGGATTCGAAGTCAATAAGAAGTTATTTGACAAAACAAAAAACTGCGGGGTAGCATGGAAATGGAATAATCTATGTAACTTGAAGAACTCAAATCATCAATGGCCGCGTGGCCCAATGGCAAGGCGCTTGACTACGATTTGTTCCAAATTGTCATCAAGAGATTGCAGGTTCGATCCCTGCCGTGGTCAGAGAGTGATCTGATTTTGATTTTGATTTTTTTTTTCCTTTTTTGGCATCGGGTTGTAAACTCTGACCCCCCCCGTTTGATTTTGTTTGTTTTGGTCCTGGACTATGGGCGATCACGGAGCGTCACTCAATGCTGGAAAGCACGACGAGTTTTTGTGTGCTCGATTGATTGAACGCTCAACTATCCTATACAGCTGGCAGAAAGGCGGGCTTTTTACGTTCGTCCTCTATCAATACTATACTCGCTGGCTGCTCACAGAGGCCTTGTAACCATGACACTTTCGTCCGTGCAGTGATCAAAAGCTGGGCTGGCTTTTTAACTTGCAGTTTGGTTGGCTGACTGTGGGCTGCACCGGCTGTCCTGGTGGTATTGCTCGGATATGAAGAATGGACGCTGCACTGAATACCACTCTGTATTTACTTAGCAGTGCACTTCACATACAAAGGCGCAGCCCGGGCTTCGTAGCCGGACTGACCGAAAAGCCAGCCTCACAGCCAGCCTGCAGCCTGCCGGCAATGGCGTTGGTCTATAGACAGCGTACATACTACACTTAGAAGAACTCCCCACAATTACAGATAAATGGAATCAGACGTCAGAACAGGGGGTAAATTCCCCAAACAAGTCGGTATTGTATCAGAAGAATTAAGCCTCCAACATTTCTCACAACAGCCCTCAAATCGTTTTCTCTTAGGCCCCCGGATTCAAGATCAACCTATCCCGCAACAATGCAACAACCTTCCGATAGCGCTTGTCCTCGAGGCCAAGTTCGAAGGCTCTCATGGCGAGAGCAACCTCGGCGAGATACGAGGCAGTGGCATCCGAGACAGCGGTTTTCCCCCAATACTTCCACTCCTGGACCCTAAGTATATTCCACGCCTCCTGGGAGACCACCAAGGGATCCTCGTGAATGCAGGTCATGGCGGCAGTCCACTCCCAGGGCCTCGCGGCGATTCCAGAGAAATCTGACATTCCGACCATGTTCAGATTATCACTCCACAAAGTACTCGTCAGCAGCCAGTTCTCGTTTTCGGAGCACATGGGAAATGTATTGTTCACGATACCGGCGCGAGGTAGAAGCAGCTCCTCCACGACCGGCAACAAATCGGCGAACTGGAAAGGAAATGTCGAAAAATCTTTGTCGGCCCTCGTGGGATTGTTGAGCCGCCACAACGGCTCAGCAACCACACGAAAGTTCCTGTTCCACCACGCAAACAGAAACGCCTCGGTGGAATAAAAGACTTCCTGATAACCCGGAAGCGGACACATGACGAAACTCTGGTGATCATCGGTCAAGCTCAGCCTGCCGATTCCTGGCAACTGGACATATGTCATGTTGACCTTTCCATTCATTCATTTATTAGGATCCGATCTCTAACAGTGGAAGCAAAAAAAACAAGGAAGAAAGAAAGAGGAGGGAGGGGAGAGAACTAACCTGAAGTTTCGCAACCTCCTCGAAGATATGTATCTTTTCTTCTTCAGTGAATTCTCGATCCTCGGCGATCTTGGAAAGAGGACGGCCATTGAGCATCTCCATGCATATCCAGGGGACTCCTGATGGATTATCCGCTCGAATGTCAAATGCCTTCACAACCGGAGCGCGGAGACCGCGAACCCCGTTGATCCAGAGGTGAGTAGCCACCTCGGACTCGAAGGCGCAACGTCGCTCGCCACGCCACCATTTGTTGTCGCGAAGGTCGTCCATGTCGGCGTCCTCCGGGACAAGGGGGATCTTGACAAGGTACTCCAGATCATCAAAGAGCACTTTTCGAAGGATGGAGCGAGACCCAGGCTGATAGTAGCCAACGAAGGTAACCTCACACTCAGGCTGGAAACCGTTGAGGATTTGGGCAAGCGCGACCCAGTTCGTGAAGATATAAGTCTTCACGGTCTGGTTGGTCCTGTAAACACGTAGGTACTTGGTCAGCGTACTTTAAATAAGGAAAGAGGGGGGTTATTACTCCTTGAGACCAGCGGTTTCCCAACTGAAGTTGTCGAACCAAGTGGTGCGGCTGCCCCAAAGCTGGGAAGCATCACGCTGCAGGTTCTCGTCGCCCTCCGAGTCCTCAGAAGTCTCCTCACCATCTTGCTGCTCAACCACAGTGGTCTCACCGTCCTGAAGATCCGACTGCTCGGTGGGGGCGGCGCCATGATCCTCATCATCCGCCAGATTGCTGGGAAGGGATCCAGAGGAATCCGATACATCATCACGATCCTCATCATCCGCCAGATTGCTGGGAACGGATCCAGAGAAATCCGATGCATCATCACGATCAGACTCCACGAAGCGAGGACGCTCAGGAGGGGTGAAGGCGAATGAAAGCGGGGAGTATCCGAGCGGCGATATGGTCCGTTCGAAGTCCACAGAATCCTCAGACTCAGAGCTAGAACGAGAACGTCTTGGAGGGGTCACCGGATCAGGCTGCCGAGGCTGCCGCGTAGCAGGAAGGGGCGTCAACAACGGGGAAGGCGGCGGCGGTGTAGGAAGAGGCGTCATCGGGGAGGACGGCGGCGCAAATAATCCTCCGTCAGGCCTTCTACGCATTGCTCTCCTTGTAAGCTCGTCCAGTCGTTCAGAGGATACGACCCGCTGCAGCTGGAGTCCAGAAGGGTTTCCCCGAAATACAAACATTCTGGAGTCTTCTGACATTGCAGATGTCGTTTGTCGGAATGTGTGATGGACAGTAAATGAGGAACAAGCGAGGTGGTAAGAGGGAATAGGTTTGGGGGAAAAGAGAAGTAAAGGGATGGAAGGGATAAAAGGTATAGAAGGGATAGAAGGGATAGTAGGGATAAGAAGGGATAGAAGGGGTAGAAGGCCGAAAAGGTCGTTCAGCCATGGGATGGGTTATAGACTATGACACTCGATAGCACTCGGTCATAGAAAATTGTTCGGTGGTGTTGTTGCTCCCATCGGCTCCTCAAATTCATGCCCTAACAACCACTCGATAAAAGCATGGCTTGTTTGAAAGTGTAAAGCATAATCACAAATTACATATTTTATTTTGTCATATCATGAAGTGCACATAAGCTAGCTCTCGTACAAAAAGCTCCTCTAAGGTGAACGTACGGACCTCCACCTCCCATCTAATGATCCCCATGCACCTTGTTCACCCTCTTGCCCAAGTAGTTCCTCCGGCCCCTGTTTCCACAGCCTTGTGCGTTCCTCGAACTCGTACATAACGCATGACTTCCCCTTGTCACTCCTCTTTTCTCCAAGGAAATCAAATTCCCAAAGTGCACCCTCCACTCCCGCAAACACTGTGCCACCGCCGGCATCTCCTTTGGCAAGCGAATATACCGGACTCTCCCTCTCCGATGCGCGGTGGCGATGTCCGAAGCTCGCGTTCGCCGCGTTGGTGCTGAGGTAGGTGGCCCAGCCTGTGCCTGAGGGGGAGGTTGGGGAGGAGTATACACGACCCCCAGGCATGCGGATGTCGAAGATCTTGAAAAGGCTGTGTCTTGCACCCCCTACGAGAAAGCGTTCTCGACCGATGGGGAGGAGAGAGTAGATCTTTGAGTTCGCGTCTAGCGGATCTGTGAATGCTGCCGTGAATGGGGCGGGGGAGCGTAGGTCATGTACCCTATAATGCGGTTGTCAGTTGGGGGTTCAAGCGGAGAAGTTGGGGAACTTACAGAGTACTCCCCGTGTACCACCCAGCAATGAACACATCCCCAGTACCTCTAATGTCTGGCAACGATGCTATAGGATGTACACTACTCATCTTTGCATCTGCACATTCCTGCGCCTCAAACACTCTCACTGGCGTCTTCGAAAACCCTGTCTGGGTGACTGCATACACAGCGATAGGTTCGACAGAGCTCTTTCCGACTGCGACCAATCCCGGGCCCAAGAACTGCACACTCCACGGCTGCTCCTTGGGAGACCACATATTGACCTCCGAGGCAATGCCTACCTCCGCATTTCCTTCTGCCAACCGATGTAAAGCAACAACGTCATTCCCTAATATGCTAGCCACGGTATCTCCCAACAGCGTAGCACACCGTACCTTTGTTCCCCTCGTCTCCAGAGTTGCTTCCGTATGCGCCACTCCTTGGCCCCCAGCAGTCCCCAAGGCAGCAGCCAAGCTAACAACCCCCAACACGCCCGATGCGCGCCCGACGAGCGCTCTCACCGCTTCTCCATGCTTTGGATTACAAAGTCGAAGCGCGGTAATGTCATCCCGCCCGGCCTTATGTTCGCGATCCTCAAACACCCACCATCGCTCTCCTTTCCTGACCAACAGGTCCTGGCCCGCACCTACGGCCAACGTGTCGCCCTGCGCGTCTAACACCGGATGGAATCCGACACTCTGCCGGCCCTTTCCCGGCGCCAAGCTCCAACGATGCCACTGCAACCCTCCTCTGATAGCGCCCACACTGCCTCTTCCTCTCGCGCGATAGTAGCGCGTAGGATGCGGTATGAAAATCTCGGGATCCAAGACCTCCGCCGTGAACGCGCGGCGATCGTAATTTTTGCTCAGGGCTGTGAGACGACGGACATAGACCGGCCACTCATCCACGCCAGAGGCGAGGATGTCTGGGTAAATGCTCGGGAACCGCGACTGCACGAATATTCGCCATCCCTTTTGGTTTGCGAAGCGGTGGAGCTGCGTGCAGGACTGCGAGAGCGCGGCGAGCGAGGCGGCGTCGGGGATGTGGGCGATTATCGCGTGCAGCAGGTCGTAAGGAAGAGTCGCGAGCGTTGGGGGTTCCTCTCGTGCTATTGTTATTGTGGGGTTCGTGGACATTTGTTTGTATTGGTGTGGTTTGGGTTTGTTGGGGGTGAGGACGGAACGGGCGGGCAGCGATATAAGGCAGCGGGATCGGAATGGGGGCAATGCGTCATAGACTTTAGCGAAGCCGCAAATAGAAGGAGGCTAGCGATGCAACATGAATCATCAAGAAACGCCGGAGAAAAGCGCCGTGCAGAATCGCAGTCGATGAACTCACCCTGCTCTCGGTCGGTATTAACGGGAGACTCACGCCTGCTGATGTGCTTCG